TTGCGCAAGAACCCTTATTCCTCAAAAATGGAGGAATAAGGGTTCTTGCGCAAAAGTTTTTTTTTGCACAAAATGGCCCCCTCTACGCTGCGTTTTTTCCTGCAAAAAAGATCAGAAGAGAATATGCAAATGAGAGCGCAAGAAATGCTAATGAGCGTTTCATTTGCATTTCCTCTTCCCCAACAACCTGACAGTGTAGCTGGAGCCAGAGAGAGGCAGCAGGGTTGGGTAGCCTCTCGGGGGAGCCAGCTTCAAAGCCAGTTTCCAGGAGCACCATCTCTGCGAGGGGCAAGGAAGGCGGAGGCATGGGCGAGCCGGGCAGCTGCCGAGGGAGCCAACTGCTGGGGGCACCTGATGGCAGCTGTAAGGGGAGCGTGGCGTCCCTTACAGCTGCCATCAGGAGCCGCGCACCCGGCTCCCGCAGCTACGGCCCGCCCGGACTGGGCCGCACTTGCACCGTGTGCCCTAGGGGCAGGCCCTGGGCTGCGCGCCAGCGGGCGTAGTCGGGCCACACATGCGCCGTGCACACTGGGGGCGGGCCTGCGCACCCTAAGGGGGTGGGCCTGCTCCCCATGGGCGGGCCCGCACATGCTCTGTGCGCCCGGGGGCGGTGCCGCGCACCCGGGGCACCGGAATACCTCGGGCCAGCCCTGGGCAGAAGCACAGTGGGTAAACAGCACGAACAGGGACTCAAGCATTCCCCGCTCGCATCAGTTCCCACTGCAGTGCTTCAGCCTTTGAAAGGCAGCACAAACCCCAGAGGGATCTTCCTACATTTCAAAAGCCTCAATGAGAAGCAGCAAAGAGGGTGCGGGGAACAGGAGTCAGTGCTGAGAGCTACATTTAACATGCAGAGGTACAAGAGCCTGGTGGCCTTTACTATATTTAAAATGCAGTGCTATGATTAGCTAGATAACCACCATGTAACATCCTTAGTCTACACTGCATTATAGAGGCCAGAGATCCATCACTTCTCTCTCAGACACTCTAGCTCTCTCCTAAAATGTGGCCACTCTAGCCCATAGTTCATGGTGCAATGTGATGAAAAACTTGACTGTTCTCCAACTTGTCTGTCCAGAGGACAAAGAAATTAGATTGATACTTTCTGGGATTTCCAAAGCATGAATCCAATGAGACAGCATCCACACTGCAAAGCGATAGGATTTGAACAAGAGTCCTGGCTTGACTGAGGATTCACTCCTCAACCCCCACAGGATACTTGGTCTCTGAGTCTAGGTATGTCTAGACTACAGGGTTTTGTCGACAAAAGTGGACTTTTGTTGACAAAACTATACCTACATCTACACTACCGCCGAGTTCTGTCGACATAACGTCGACAGAACTCGGTAGTTTTGTCGACGGCGGTAAACCTCATTTTACAAGGAATAACGCCTTCTGTCGACAGAGTTCTGTCGACAGAAGGCGTTATTACATCTACACTGTCCTTTACATCTACACTCTCATGTCGACAAAGCAGGTTGCTTTGTCGACAGAACTGGATGTAGTCTAGACGCTCTTTGTTGACAGAAGCTTTGTCGACAGTATCTGTTGACAAAGCCTCTGTTGACAAGAGCCTGTAGTCTAGATGTACCCTCTGAGTCCTGAGTTAGTGCAGTTTGTGTATAGATGGAATGGGGTTAAGCTTGAATCTCAATTCAAACTCTGGGTTTACAATGCAGTGAAGACTACACTGATATTTTGCCACTTTCATAGTCATGGAACTACAACTCCCCGCTCTAAATACCACCCCCTTTGCTCCATAAAACCTCTACCTGTCAACCCCACATTTCCCAAACTTTACCCAATTTACAAAGCTCTACTCAACTTAGCATGCACCTCAGAATCCCATTTACTCTTCTCTCCACGGTCTCCTCTCAGATCTTGCATCCAAATGGTTCAGTCAGCTAATCCTAGCTTCACAAAAACAGTTATGCCAAATAAGGTGAGTAACTGTTTGTTCAATTTAAACATTTCAAAAGCAGCCTGTGTCTGAGATGTAGAGTGGGCATGTTATGTCTGGCATCTGCAGCAGAGTGGTTGTTTAGCCAGACTATAAAGGATCCCAAAGAAGTGTGTGAAAAATAGAGTTGAATATCAAAGACGGAACATTTTTAAAATGCCTCCTCTGGAAAATGTTAATATTGAACATAAAATTATATAGAAAAATTAATTTCCCACAGAAAAGTTATTGGTCCAAATGCAAAGACAAAAGAATGGGAAAAAGTAATTTAAATTTTGATCCAAGTACTAATTTCAGCTTCAACTTAATTATGGAGTTGCTACCAACATTTTAAGGGGTGTTGTTATAAACACAGGTCAACCTAAAAGGGACACTGGTTTTAGGTCCCAAACTTAAGTTGCACTACTACTACTACTGCTACTAAAAAGGTTTCTCAAAACTTAACTAAAAAATCTGGTTGCACTGAAAATTTAAACACTTCCATATAACTTTGGAAAAACAAAACAGACGTTACTGCAAAAGAACCTGAAAATGAAGACTCACTATAAAAGAAAATGAAACTGACCTATATTCATGGTCCAAGCTGAATAAAATGCAGAGTAAATAGAAAGTATAAACAGTGAGAATTAAATTCTATATTCAATTTAAATAGTCTAATAGGTTAGTAATAGTTACAAAACTCTAGGAATAATTCCTCATCTACAATTGTATAAAACTAACCTCAATAATTTTACTAAACTGGGACAAACTGAAACATGAAAGCAACCCAAAACCAGACCAAAGAGCATTTCCAGTAAATAGAAAAATCAAAATATATTTGTTTGGAAAGATCTCTTCCAAGGACACTAAACAACGAAAGTAATATTGTTAATACTAAAATAAAAACAGATACACCTGGAAATAGATAGGGAACACTATGCTACATAGAGCAAAGGAAGACAGTTTGAAACATTTAAAATATATATCTATTTTGCAATCATGCATGTTTATTATCCAAATTTCACATTCCCACTTTAGCCACAGAACGGTCGGGAAGAACTATACGTCTGAAAATATGTTTGGTCTAAACCAAAAAGATCATGCTCATACCCCAACAATAGTTTTATATTTGAACCCTACCAAAATTGTAGATGGATAATAATAGTCTACGGTTTCCTTTAGGAATTACCATAAAGAAATACGTAAAAATCAAAATAAAAACCAGAAATGGTACGGCTGTTCTCTGAAACTTTCAGAGACTTGGAAACTTATCAGATGTTTATGAGTAAGGTTCTATTTTCTCCGTAAATACGTAAAATAGATTATGGGTGAAATTCTGCCTTATTGAAGTCAAAGGGAAACCTGTTTAACCTTAATGGGGACAGGGTTTCACCACATATTTTGTATGTGTGTTCTATATGCTATATGTTTTTAACTGTTATTTTTTTCCATAGGCTTGAAGAGTTAACTCTGCTTTACTTGATAGGTCCAACTTTGCAAAACTAAAGAAATTGCAGTTATGTTTAAACTTTTAATCATATGGACATGAAATTTTTAAGTCATGACTATCCAATAAATTGTTGGACAAGGGATAAAATCTTGGTGAAAATTATGAATTGGGTTTCAAAAGGAACTTAAGGAAGTCACTGGTGCCCAACTCAGTGGAATTCAATGGGAACTGGGCATCTAATTAAATCCCTTTAGCCTCTTTGAAAATCTCACTCTTTGAACATAAGACCAACAAGTCTGAAGTTCTGCACAATCACATCATCTTTAGAAAGATAGTGCACCATGACCACATTGACAACTCTACTGAGCTGTAGGTAGGTAAGTTTGAATACTGATCAGATACAATAAGATTGGTTTGACAGTCACAATGCCTTACCAAAATGAATGGAAAAGAAACGGCTTAACTTAAGTCTTATCTACACCAGGGAATATTATAGTAACATTTCACTGGGATGTTAAAATCAAGAAGACAAGAGGCAGAATTAAAAAATTCCCTGGTGCAGAAAACTGCAATGCTAAAATGCTATTCCAAAAATTCCCCAGTGCTTTAGGGTCAATTCCTCAGGAACTTGGAAGCAGCTTACAAATACATCTCTAATACAGCCCATTAAAGTAAGATTAAGTTTGATAAATTATTGTCACATTAGCCTTTATAATTGATGTTACATTGTTTGATGCATCAATCTTACAGTATTAACACATTAAGGGTAAAGGATCAAATTCAGTGCACAGTGACACAAATGGGCTAATTTTGGCCAAATAACTACCTCTTGATAAACCATCTTATCCATAAAAGTGTAAAATATACTACTGTAATATATGTCTCAATAAGATGGTCATCAAGGAAGTACTGAAAAAATAGTTCTTAGAATATCATCCAGAAACTATTTCAATAGTGATACAGTTAATACCTATCACTTGAGCACAACACGTAGATAAAAATGATTAACTTATATACTGTTTAGAATAGCAACTCTCACAGATAAAAAAATCTCCTAACATTTTTTCCAAAAATATTGTTTGGAAAAATATGGGTTGTGAATTATCTTAAGTAAGTTTCCAACTTGCTCCTTCATGTTATTTCCATTAAATCATGGCAACGTCAGTCCAATCTTATTGATTTGTTCCAACACTCAGCAACAGAAAGGTCAAGAATGTTATAAGAAGCCTAAAGACGTGTGATCCAACATCATTTGGACTGCCACAAACTACAGAAAACATCTAACAAATTAACAATTTGCAAACAGCACATAAGCAAAGCCTTCCAATCACCAGATTCCCCTCTCCTATTTTTATTTTTATGTGAAGAGAAATAGAAATCAAACATACCTCTTTAAATGCTATATTAGATTGAAGCAAGGTACTAGATAATATAGCCTTATGAAATGTGAATTTTGGACAATTAAGTTATTTATAAAAAAAAAAGCAAAAGAAAGCCAAGCAAAGTAATGCCATCCCATATTATTTAGTAAACAGAAACCACACTCCACTAAAAAGGAGCAAAAAAAAGAAAAAGCGGCAAGAGCTGGCAGAATCACTGATGGCCAATCACCTGCGATTTTCATCCAGCACATCCAAGACCTGCTGATAAGCCCTACGAGTAGAAGACTGGATAAGCGACAAAATGCCACGAGCAGAGTAAATATTAGATCCATCTTCAGGTAACATATGAGGATAGACACGAGCCTGTTGTAGTGATGGTGTCACACTGTTTGTGCATAGCAAATGAAGAGAAAAACATTGTTGTCAGATTTTAAATAAAGAACTTCTTCAGCTAGCCCCAGTTCCAAAGTCTAAGCTGATTCCATTTGATCTTACCCTTTTCTCACCAATACCAGGTAAACACTGTCAAAAAAAGTAGTAGATGGAGTCACAATTACATTTGTTTATGATCTTAGGAATCAAATGCAAATTATATTACACAAAACTATGATTTTGGTACAGATATTTAGGGTGTTTTTTTTTCAGAAGTTCTCAGACTCACTGACATCAATGGGAGCCAAGACAGGCCGACATTTTACATTTTTGAAAATCCTACCCATAATCTCTTCTGAAGTAGTACTTAAAGAGAACTATGTATTAATGGAACCATGTCAACCTGGCATACTTCCATATTTGAAGCGCAAAAAAAAAAAAAAAAAAAAAGTCTCACGTTTAACAATAAAAGAGCAAGATTACAGTAGTATTTTGATTTGCCTGTGTCTGACTGCTAAGTTACCAAGATTTAACTATAAGAAGTTAAAATAAAACTACAAAATTAATTTTCCAAAGACGATGAAGTATATGAAATGAAATTCTGATCATTCTTTTAAAGAGAAGAGAGCTGAGTTTAAAATTTAAACACTACAGGTTCTTTTGTACATGATTTTACAAATATCTCTGCTGGACACTACTAAATTCTGATAAAATAACTGAGTTGTACATGTAGTCCTCTTATTAGCTTTCCATTATCCTTATAGGCCTTTACACCAAGATATTTAAGGAAGATAAACACAAATTTAAGTAATCATGACATGCTTGTTTTACCCGAATTCCTTCTTTTTATATTGGTAACCTAATAATTATGTTTGAAAAAGTCTAATTCACTGTGTTCTTTTGAACTCTGAGATGGCTTTTACTCCAAGACGATTGCTCATGACCAGCACTGGATATTCCTTTGATCTTTGTGCACTGTTTCTGCTTTATTTCTACAATATTCTAACTTTGAGTACCAATCTTTCTGATTTTTTTTGCTTGTGTTCCAGGAAACTTAAGTGAAGTATTAATGGTGGAAATCAGTATACTTAATGTTTTGATCCTTCCTTAGCTAGATGAGTTTTTTATTGTTTAGTTATTCTTAGATTGTGGAAGGAGTGTTCAGCTGGTGCGGAGATTAAAACACAAGGTGTGACAAAACCCACCTGTTTTGAAAAGGAGGGTCAGCATCATACTGGCCATCAGTCCACTCACAGCAGTGACAGCACAAGGCAGAGGGTCAACAGGAATGCAAAGGCTGGATTTCTGATCCCCACTCCAAAGATCCATCCTTATGTCTTCGTGAGATGAGTAATTACTTTTACTTCTACTTCACAGTATCTTGAGATGTGATAGCTTCAGATGTAAACTAAGCTTTTGTTCAGAAATCATAAATTACCTTTGGGCTTGATGGACAATGACCAAAATGGTGTATATTGGAAGATATTCATTTTCAAGAGATTTTGATGATGTAGCACTTAGGCAAGAATTTACAGAAATAGAAACAAACTTACCATTTTATTGTTTTCTCTGTATTCTTCTGCACTTGAAACCCCTTCCCTTACACTGTGCCTTCCTTTTTCCATATTTAAGATTACTTTTACATTTGTGATTAAAAGCATTAGTCATGGCAATACCATTTTATCCTGCTTTGCACTGTGACTACATATTATAAATATCCATTGGAAAAACTTAAAGAGGCAGGGAACAGGTGCAGGCACGAAGATCTTGCCCCTCAAGTAAATTCTTTGGATATCATTTCCCAGTTTGAATCTGCAGAGTTACAGGTGACAGGGAAGGTATCAAAGTACAGGGTATCAAGTATCAGAGGGGTAGCTGTGTTAGTCTGAATCTGCAAAAGCGACGAGGAGTCCTGTGGCACCTTATAGACTAACTGAAGTGTAGGAGCATAAGCTTTCGTGGGCAAAGACCCACTTCGTCAGATGCATGTAGGGTACAGGGTACTTCATATTAACCCTCATTTCCCTTGACCCTAACAAAAAAACCCACCACAGTTTTAGTAGGATGGTGCAATCAGCAGGGGAAACAAAAGACCCTCCCCACATTCTTAAGCTACAATAATTTTGTAACCATATTGCTGGTAGACTAAAATGAAACACAATATTTGGGTTATCTATCAATGCATCTTAAGAACTAAAATGCAGAATAGTGAACAGAAAAAGATAGAAAATGTACAAGAGCATTAAACAATGGATGACAGCTTGGAAATGGCAACAAATATGGAGGCTGGACATACTACAAACTGCAGAATGCTGCAGGCCTCCCTCTAGTCTCCCCTTATCCTCAAGGCTATAGTACTAAACACCACAGTAATGTCATCAATACACAAAAGCTTTTGTTAAGGGAATTACTGAATAGAAACTGCATATTGTACTTCTAGTAGACATTTTGCATTAAACAGCTGTACTGAATAAATTGAAGCTCTCAACAATAATGAGCTGCTTGAATTTGTATACCATCAATTTATTGATGCTATACAATTGTCTGAATTATTTTTGAGAACATCAAATGGCTTTACATAGTGGATAAATATTATCACTCAATTTAACAGAATAAAACCAATTATCAGAGTGATTTAAGTGACTTCTATAACATCACAGAGCAAGCTAAAGTCAGCTGAGAATAGAATCCAGAGCTACACGACTCCTAGTCCTTAATATAACTGCTAGTCCACTATACTATGTCTAGTTCAATGAGCCACAGTGAACACTGCTTTATAGGCTGCTCATAAGAAAGGTCTCAGAGATTATTCAAGTAATAAAATGTATTTGTTTTTGGATAGGACTGAAACTACAGAACAGGAAAAGAATACTTAAGAAAGTTTTCCCCACAAAGGCAATTTGTCAACTTATATATCCTTCTAAACTAGATAATCAGTGTAAGGGAAACCCTTCCATATTGATTCTGACCAAGCTTGGTAACTATTATGCAGATACAGGTTGAAGTTTCAGGGGCAGAAAATGAATTGTATAAGAAAACAAAAAGAGAGAAGGAAAACTGAATTGTGTTAACTCTAGGGATGCCAATGCATAGACAACTACACAATTAACTAATAAACCCAGGTTTATCAGTTAATCCTGTTGACTACACGCATACCCTCCCTTGCTGCCTCTGTATCAGGAGGGTGGGAGCCGATTCCTGTGGGGAGGACCACATCTGTATGCTCCCAGAGGCAGCAGCGCAGAGGTGATGGGGGCAGGAGGGAGCTGATACGCGCGAGCCGGCTTTTAAGCTGGCTCTATTGACCCACCAACCCCCCGCTTGCTGCCTCTGCAGTGTCGCCTGTCCTCCCCCCTCCATGCTGCTGCCTCTATCAGGGGGGGCAGAGGAGGCTGCCATGAAGCAGTCTCTGTCCACTGTGGCCTGTGCTCTCCACAGACAGGTTGTTCTGCAGAAACAGCCCCTGTCCACAGGGGGTCCAAGCTCGGACCCTTCCCCCCCGCCTCCAGACAGGGACTGCTGCCACCCTGCACTGCTGTCTGTATCAGAGGTAGCAGCAGACAGGAGCCGGTCTTCACAGGAAGCCAGTTTTTAAACTGGCTCCCGCCTTGGACCAGGTCCCGCCTACCAGGCCGCTCTATTAGAGACAGCTGTGCAGGGTGGCGGGGGCCCCCCAGGAGTGGGGTGGGAGCACAATGGCTGCCAGCCCCACCTCCAGGAGCTATCAAATAGTCGTGTAACCACTAAAATTTGATGCATTTACACGACTATTCAATTACACGCTATCTAATATTCCTAGTTAATCCCACTTTTGCGATCGCTGCTGAGGATTCAAGAGCATACACCTATAACAGATTCATTTGTTAAGTCTCTGAAGTTACTTCTACATAGCATTTGAACACTCATGACTGGTAGGGTCAGCTGACTTGGGCCCACAGGCCCAGGTTAAAAATTGTTCTGCAAAATGGCAGGGGCCAAAAACCCTCACAGATGTGGCCTCCAACTGGGAAGCAGGAAAAAAAAAAAAAAAATTAAAAAAAAAAGACAATCCCCTCATGCTTCAGCCCCACAGGGGAGGGAGGGGAGTGCTGAGGCTCAGGGCTCACCCACAGGGCTAGATTAACTCTTCTGGAGGCTTGGAGCTAGTGGCTTTTGTGGGATCCCCTAGGCTCTGGGGTGGGGACAAAAATCAGGGGTTTAATGTGTGGGAGTGAACTGTGGATGAGGGTGCGTGTTGTGGGTTAGTGGTTGGGTGCAGGAGTGGGCTAAGGGTGAGAGTATGGGAGGGAGAGTGTGGGAGAAGGCTGGGAGTGGGAACATGGGCTAGGGGTGAGCATGCGGAGTCTGGGTGACAGGTAGGGTGCAGAAGCATGCTGGGTGTGTGTAAGGGTTTGACATTTGGGTAGGAGGACTCTAGGTACTGTACTATCTACAAAAACTTTCCCTGACCTTATTTTGTCTTTTCTGTTTTTGTAATTACATGTTTTTGTGACTGAATACTATTTTGCTGCAGAGATTTCACAAGAGGCATTTTCATGAAGCATTCTAGCAAGTTTGTAATACAGGCTGCTTAAACATCTAAGTGAAAGATGTGCACCTGGATGAAACTGAACAAGATGGGAAATGATTGAAACAATGCACTGAGCAGAACTTGGCTACACTGTAAAATATTTAATATGTATGTTTTT